AATGGGCGAAAACAATGTGAAATGGTTTCATCCCGCCAAGTATCTCAGACAGTCTTATCACAGATATTCCACTGATATTTAAATGGTATGTTTTTGCAAGTGGCATCTTGGATAAGTTCAAGCCGAACTTTAAGTAGAGGGCATGTGGTTGTGTTAATCTTATGACATCATAGAATTTTTTTAAAGGGGGGAAAAAGGAAAGATAGAATTAATTGGTGTTCTGAGTAAATTTGTTCTAAAATGTCTTGAGGTTCTTGACCGAAATGAGAACTGCCTTTTAGAAGAAAACAATTTCATCAGAATTGTATGAGAAACAACAAGACTATTTAAAAAAGCTTCTTCCTCTTTTCATGGTCATGTATAAGTTACGAAATGGAGACTTAAGAAAGGAACAGCTACAGAAATTTAACTATGTTTTAAAGAATGTCAGAAAATTTGACAACGAAATGCGTAGGTGCACTAAGATAGAGAAAATGTCTTCCAAAAACTACACACATATACATACGCACACACATTATATATATATATATATATATATATATATATATATATATATATATATATATATATATAATATATATATAGTTAAATCTAGAGAAGACAAGCCTACCAAGGTTTCACCCTAAGCGGATCGTCAGGGAAGGCTGCCTAAAAAGGTGAAAAAGAACGGAATATTTATTTCTTTTTCACCTTTTTAGCCAGACTTCCCTGACGATCCATTTAGGTGAAACGTTGGTAGGTTTGTCTAGCTCTCTAGGTTTAACTAGGTCTGCTCTACTTACTGTATTGAGCACTTTATTTAGTTGCTTTGCCTTCTCCTATCGGGGTTTTGGCTTTGAACTTGCATGCTGGACGATTATTTTCGGCTAACATACATGTTCTTGGTTCTTTCTTTTTTATATACCTTTTTTCCCTTTGATATTGGTTTGATTATTTGCAAATCAAGGCACCGAAGGTTTTCCGAACGAGTATAGTTTCTTATACCTATAGTATTGCTACTACTAATATATATATATATATATATATATATATATATATAGTGTGTGTGTATCTGCAATGTTTCGTTAAAAAATGACTAAAAATTTACATAAACTTAATGTTGTTGTATCGTCAAAATCTTTATTCTTAAGAGAAAAGAAAACAAAGGATTTTTTATTATATTTTTCTATCCTTTGTTGAACTTTCGAGATTTTGGTTAAAAATGTTGCTTTTCTTGCATCAGAGCGGGTGTCCATAAATCAATATAGAAAATGCTAACGTTTTTTTTTTTCCTTTGTGATAAAGAACACATTGATTTGGAAATTTTTGCAAAAATCAAATAATTATCGGATTTTAATGAAAGTTTCAGTACTTATTTATAAATGGATGGAATTATTTTCAAATGTTTCTTTTTTAGAAAATCCTGTTAAATTTTTTTTTTTTTACATCTGTTACCGCCAATTATTCAATTTTATGAAATTTCCAGAAATTCATTTTTGTACGACTTAATGTTTATATTTGTTATACACAGAACCCCTTGAAGAATTTAAATTATCAATTTTTATTTTTTTGTAAAACAGGACCTTCAGTTAACGAAAATCTGCTCTGAATCGAAAAATAAAAAGAGCAATCAAAATAAGACATTATTTAATTAAGAAAGGCTTTTAATTGCTTTTATGAATAAGATATATTAAGGCCTATCGTCTCGTAGAAAAAACATTTTTGATGAATAAATTTATTTTTACAAGAATTTTTAACATTTTCTTAATTAGAATAATTTGTGTGTTTCCTGCTTTCGCGCAATCTAATGCACGTTAGCTGAATTATCGATCGACCATTTCTATATGTTAATCATGGCATTGTGGGTAGCAAGATTATAATACACATAATATAATACAACGACTAACATATATAAATAGTCGAGCTATAATCAAACCCACATGGCCTAAAGGTTGCATGCAAGCATGAAACAGATTATCACCATTCGGTATTGATATCAATGCTTCTTATATTTACATACTCTCTATCCTGGTCATTGAGCACTTTTACCTAAATATAGCATTTTTAAATCGATTTCACCTCAAACAGGGCAGTAAAGCCACTAAGACACAAAAGGGTTACAGAATGTGGAATAATTAGGAATATAAATATTTGTGATCAACAGGAAGAGAAGAGTAATCGGGTGGGCAGTAGACAGGAATTGACATGGCATTCAGATATTTGGAGATTAAAGTTGGCTGAAAAACATGGAGTCAGAAGGGTGTTCCCTTAAAATTATATTTCATCATATGTATGTAAGAATTCAGTTTCTATTGAATTCAACAGACAAGGTCAGTCTGTCTGTTTGAATTTTTTATTGTACTTCTCCAAGTTAATCCGGAATTTTGGCCAGATTTGTTACGGTGAACTAGCAGTGCGTTCAATAAATATAACATTAACATACTAATTTATAAATATAAACGTTCAATGGACTTATCTCTTTTGGCCGACTCCAGAGTTTCGCGTAATATCGCTCATCAGAGTCAGCTGATCCAGTTTCATGAGCGGTATTAAAAAATAAAAATAAAACGGTCACATGAGATAAGATCATTGAACATTCATTGGTTCATTGACGATTGCCGCTCCAGTTATCTATTGAGCACGTTTTTGGCAGATATTCTGTTGGCCAGAAAATAGTTTGGTGTGAAGATTTTTATTACTGGCAATATTTTTTTTCAAAAATGTATTGGTGGTTATATTTTTTCCAAAAACTTATTGCTGGTAATATTTTCCTTTTTCAAAAATGTACTGCTGGTAATAATTTTTCAAAAAAAGTATTGCTGGTATTATAACCTATGTTTTACACTTTCATAGTATAGTGCCTTGACCCCTTTTTGGTGGTTAACTATTTCCCCATAGCTGGACCCTGACAGGTGCTACCACCCCAGGTCAGAGTGGACCTAGGAACATCAGCATTTAAGAGATGGTTTCATGCTCCTCAAAACCTCCTGCTGTCGGATGTAGTTTATCGTCTTACTCGGGACACGGATGTAGTTTATCGTCTTACCCAGGAGGGCCAGAAAATAGGCTAAATTCTAGTATTTTTTTAATGTATTTTAGTAACTCAATTCTCCAAGTTTTTTGTTTCCTTTGCTGTGGCCAGGTATTGAACTCACAACTCTTTGGGTCAAGTGACTTTTTGCATTACTTCAACCAACGCTTTTATCCATGGCCCAGTGAACTAATTAAAGGGTTCAGTTCGTAATTCCAACGTATATCACCTGAAGAAGGTCGGAGCGTACAACGGCAGAAACGTCTTGAATACGAGGACAGCAGTGCGAACGATGTAACTAGTGTAAATAGTTCCCTTCAGATGGTTTATTAGTAGTAAATATAAATATATAAAAAATTTTTTTTCAAAATGACATTACAAAAGGTAGATATTTTTTCTTTAATATAGATGAAAGTAATGTTACCAATATGGCCACCTTTTTTCTTTTTTTTTTTTTTTGTAACTTTATTCATAAAAACCTTTTAAATTTGGGCTTCCCTGTATTTTGTCCAAGCGTTATTTTTTGATGATTAACACAAGTAAGCATGAGTCCGATTACATCCCACACTGAGTGTTTTGATTTGTTAATACGTAATTTATATATATTTATAATTACTTTCGTTAGAAACACAGAAAAGATGCCTTCCAAAAGCTAAGCAAAGTATTAAGAAAGATTACAGTTTAGTTAGTAACAAAGAAAAGTGTTATATAATATCAGTCCCTCTACATAGCAGTGAATGATAGACAATCTCTTCACAGATGAAGACGTGAATTGAAACTAGAGAAATGTGTTTCTACAGAAGGAATCTGGGGGTACCATGGACAGAACACGTGAACAACGATAAAGTTTTAAAGAAACAAAAAGGAAAATTATATTTAACATCAGAAAAAGACACTTGAAATTTCTAGTCCACATAATGAGGAAAGAGGTCTTCAAAAATTTGACATTCACAGGACAGATTGAAAGCAAGAGGAACAGAGGGAAACAGCGCACAACGTAATTATTGAGCTTATGTGCAAATACGGCAGAACAGGGTTTTGGAAAGATAGCAGAAAGACATCATTTATTTAGAGTTACAAAGGGTAGAAAATTGTGGAGAGCCATGAGACACGTGAAAAATGATGATGAAAGAGATTAAGGACTTCGAGATTATGTTGATGATGAAGATGAAAAAGGATTTGGAGATTATGTTGATGATGATGAAAGAGATGAAGGACTTTGAGATTATGTTGATGATGATGAAAGAGATGAAAAGGAGATGATGATGATGAAAGAGATGAAAAAGAGTTGGAGATGATGATGATGAAAGAGATGAAGGACTTTAAGATGATGATAATGATGATGAAAGATGAAAGACGGAGATTATGACTGTGATGATGAAAGAGATGAAGAAGAAATAACTTAACAGACATGTTCCTTTAGCGGAATAATAACAGATTCCATTAAAACTTTGGTATTTAAGACACTTAAGATTAAGTGAATCCCAAGAGTTGTAAATAATGATGATTGGTGCGATCAAATTAGCCTCAAATTTTGCTAAGATGTTGTATAAAGTGTGGGAACTGGTTTGAAGCACAGTTCTTTGTATTTTCAGTCACAATGCTGCATTTGATTATAATTGGAAAATCAGGCCTTTCACTTTCAACGGGGCGTTAAATTACAAAAACAACTCTTCAGGTCTCAAAAGCTTTGTCTTTGACAGATGATATATAGACATAGATATGTGAACTGTATCAAGATAGAATTAAAGCCACATATACCCTGGGGCTTCTACTATTCCTTTCTTGTCGACTACAGTTCTCATTTACAAATTTCCCTTTTTTCAGTAATGGCTCAGGCTTGGCTGAAAAAAGTTTTTTCAATTTTATTTTTTATTTAAATACAATAATAGCCTTTTTATTTCAATAATATTTTACAAGTACTTTATCATTAAACTGAAGCATTTGATTTCATTATAGCAACATAATATAGGGCTTATGGAGGGTTTCGCGTTGAAACACCGATTCCCGTATGATCAGTGAAGTTAAGCAGCGTCGAACTTGATCAGTACCCAGATGGGTGACCGCTTGGTAATACCAGGTCCTATAAGCTTGAACATGCGGATGGTGTAATGGATAACGGCTCGAAATTGTTAATCAAATAGCCGGGTTCCAATTCCAGTCAGGATCGTTATATTCACTTATGTGCAAATGACCTTCCACCTCTTCTCTCCCCAGCTATGAGTTAATTAGTAAGTCTTGTATCAGTAAATCATTATTATCTCCCCAAAATTCTTACAATCTAAAAATATTTTCTGGCTTTAAATAACCTGCAAAAAGTTGATAGACCGTTAAAAAAAGAAATCAATAAATTCATAATAGAGGTATAGGTAGTGTAACGGGTATCGGCCCCAAAAGTGGAATCGGAGACCAGAGTTCAAATTCCGGCATAATTTGATGCATTCACTTTCGCGCTAATGCCCGTGAAAAAACATGGATTTATTTCTTCTCCGCTCAGCTAAAGGTAAAATAGCAAGGTAGATTGAATTCTCTTGACTGGAGTGGTAGCACGTCCAAGAGAAGGAAAAATGTGAATGCCAAATCGATAGAAACGGCAAAGGAGAACCCCTTGACTATTTTTCTTAATAAGGCATGACATTTCCCAGATATTTAAACATATTTGGAAGTCCTGGAAGGGCAAATTAAAAAATAGTTTCGTAGTTGTCACAACTTTAAAATTGCTTCCAAGAAACTTCAAAGGGTCCGGCGATATATTCACGCGATTATTAAGAAAGAAATCTTCATGTGCCGTGGACGTTACTGGCTCCCCACAACTTCCTGCCCTTTGTAACATTAAACAAGATGGATTCTGACGAGAATTTTTTTTCGCATGACACAGTGAACCAACTTTCCGTAGCAGTTGATTCGATATAGTTGTTCCACTCCGTGTCAGTAGAAAACGTTAGGCAAGAAAGTGTAAAGTGTTGCTCTCCTGGAGTTTAGCTTCAGTCATCTTGATGGCAGGCAAAAAAAGGTTCTATGTGGTGATTAAAGAAAAGCCATTTCTTGCCCCAGTTAACCACTGATTGGCTGTCCTTTTCAAGAGCAGTTGCCAGGTTTACTTAGTCGGGTGTGTTGGGTTTGCTACTAAGACAGAAGTACAAGGTTGAGTCATCTGCATAAATGCCTAGTTGGGAATTTTCTCTTGATTTTGATGAAAATCGATTTGCCTCATTTATGTCGAAATATTTCTAAAATAAATAAATATAAAAGTTCAATCTAAAAGTTAACATAATCTTTCTTACTCATTAAGGTTTGTTGAACAATATATAATGTTTCTCTGGTCTATATAAACATGTTGCTGGGGGATTTGATCTATACCATTGATCCTAATAAACCCTTCTTAACGTATTCTACTTTTCATTTTACAGGACTCTGAAAAACATCCACATAGAAGGGCGAATCATAAAACAAATCCAAAGTTTCTTAAACAAACAGAAGAAGAAACAGTTTGACCCCAGAGGAAACAGGTAAATATTCGTCTATATATTCTGGATATATTTTTATTTGTTTTATTTCTTTATTTTATTTTCTATTTTTTAACTATTTTATTTTAATCCAAAGTTTACACGGGTAATAAATATGTGTGTGTGTGTGTGTGTGTGTGTGCGCGCGCGCGTGTGCTATGAAAAATCAATATTGTACCAATATAGACAAAATATTGGTAATAATTTAATTACATTTTCATCTTTTAATCTTCCAATTTCCAGGTGTACGAGGGTCGGCTGAAAAGTCCATAGGCTGTACAAGATGCTCTCATTGAATGTGACTGAATGAGGTTCATTTTTCAACATAGTCTCCCTTGCGGTTTACACATGTTGTGGTCTGGTTAGGGCCAGAAATAAAGACACAAGAGAGGAAGTGAGCTAAATATATTAACAGAAACAGTTATGCAAACATATACAAACGAGAGTGTTACAGCAAGAATGTTCGGTCTGTCAGAGCTGACAGCTGGAAACTTCAAAAAGCAGTACCTGATCCTATTTATAGCTGGGAGAGTCCATGCGTACGTGGGTAAATGACCATAACAACGCAGTTCTTCTATCGGTGTTGCAATGCTTAGATCCCATTGGTGAAGAATCTTTCATTCTATTGGTTAAAAAAAAAGTTGCTAGCAGCAGATATGACGTCATCATCCCTACGATACTAGTTCCCAGTCAAGTATTATTTTCTATGTTGTGGAACAGATGATTGTTAGATGGAACCAAGTCAGGGGCATAGGGAGGACTTCAACAAGTTCAAAGCCACAGTTACGAACAGCGGCCATTGAAAGCAATGTATGCTGGAGCATTGTCATGAGCGTTTTATCAGCCCTTCGTAACTACCCCAGAAAGTTGGCATAGTACTCCCCATTGATGGTGTGGCACTTTTGAAGATAATCAATAAACACCATGCCTTTTGCATCCCCAAAACCTGAAGCCATCCCTTTCTTTGCAGGTCAAACGGTCTTGGCCTTCTTTGGAGCAGGTGAGGAGGGATGTTTACACTGCACGGATTGTCGCTTTCTCTCTGGCTCAAAGTGATGAACTCAACATTCGTCCTGGGTTAGAAAATGTTCAAGGAAACCAGCTTGATTTGCCTCAAGCAATATTACATTTTCCCGTGATATGATTAGCCTGGTGCACTTTGGATCAAGTGTCATAAACTCATCGACTAGAAACCTCTTCGTCATACCAAGTTCATTGTGTAGAATATTTTCAGCTTTCTCAAAGGTTATGTTAATAGCAATGGCTATTTGATTTATAATCAATCGCCTATCATCCATCACTATGTGGTAAACACGATCAATGTTTTCCTCGATGGTGACAGTCGCAGGACGTCCAGACCTGGGCTCATCTTCAAGACTCACCCTTTCACTCCTAAATTAAACTGCCCTGTTTGTATTGTGACTAAAGCTGGAGGGTCATACCCTTCAGTAGCAACCATGCCAGCAAAGATGATCTTGGGGACTAAACCTTTTTTTTTCTGCAGTTATTTGATTTTTCTGCAGTTATTTGATACCACGATATCAAATTTTGTCCATTTTCAAGAGAAATTGATACTAGTTCCATTTGAAGTCTTCTTTTGACGGTCAGATATCAGTTTATCTGGAAAGAAACAATGCAGTTAATAAGAAGTTGTAATTAACGCATGCAAGATATCACAGCTCTAGCGTCATTTCTTCATAGTCAGCCTATGACCTTTTCAGACTATGATTGTACATAGAAAGAAACAAAGCTTTCTCTATTAATAAGAATTAATCTATGCAATATTTCACAGCTCTGGCGTCACTGCTTTGTAGTCAGCCTATGAAATTCTCAGCCAAATCTCGTACCTGGAAAGTAACAAAGCAGTTATTAATAAGAAGAGTTGAAATTAATGCATGTAAGATATCACAGCTCTAGCGTCAATCCTTCATAGTCAGCCTATGAAATTCTCAGCCCACCCTCGTATACTATCACCAAGAAATCATAAAATCCCTCTTGAAATAAGAATTAACTTTGCTTCTGTTTGATAATCATTTGAATCCTCAATAAACTCAAGCTTCGTCTTTTCCCCTTGCCTTTTAATTAGTTCAATACATCCTGAGATGTGTTTTAACAGGGGACGAAAAGTGCGACACTGAAACACTTATTTAATTTTGTTTTGTTTTTTAGCATATATATTTTTATCTGATGTCACTGCCATATCTATAAGAAGGCATGATTTGTTTGTAATTTTTAATCATAATTTATGGACTATTAGCTTTTATACAGCGTGGCTACTGAAAGACTGGATGATGTAAAACAAAAATAACTTTTACAAACATATGAGTATCTTGGGTAGTAAAGTTTGAACAATTTGAATCTTGTATGGAAACATTTTTAAATCCTGTTTCAGAATCTTCTGAAGCAATGTTCTGGCGATGTCTAGTTGAGCAGAGCGATGATGGGTAGAGGCTGATGGATCCTCAAGGACACTGTCGTACAGCTTCCACCGTTTCTTCAGTGCGCGCAGTGCGCTTAGGACCTCTTCCCGAAAGATCGCCGACTGATCCAGTTCTTTCAAACCAGGCGATTAGGTTCCGAATCATGTTATCGCTAGGGGATAATCTAATATTAAAATGTTGCCGGTGTTTTCTCTGAGTTTTAATAACTGATTTTTCATTGGAATTGTTGTAACCTAGGGAAGGTTACTGAATAGAATAATCGCACGAAGGTTAGTAATGAACGATAATGATAATACTTAGGACAAGAACAACACATATAAGATTCGCCAGCGGCGCGTAGAAGTAATAGTCGTATTGATAGAAGTTAGTCAAGTGAATTCCAAAATGAATCTCCAACTGCAGAATATCTACTAACCGCCCTACGCGGTCACATGTGACACAAGGCCAAATTTAATGTAGGGTATCCGAGCCCGTAAGCTCGGCCAAAAATTCCCCGTAGATCCCGTATAAAACGGGGTCTGGTAACTGTTTCCCGAGATGAGACTCTGCCCTTCGACATAGCCTCGTCTGAGGGATCCTCTCTGCCCGGAGGCGGAGAGTTTGACCAGCACAGGTGGAGATGAATCTCCAGCTGCAGACCAATATACAGTATTTACTACTGTATTTATGTGAATGGGGACATACCCATTATCGTCTGTAGGTATGCTACAACAGGAACAGAAAAACTCAACAACTTTTACTGAGCATCATAAATAGCCATTTTAATCGCCAAGAGATCCTCTACGACCTGCAAAAAAGGAAAGTTATGACAGTTTTTCAATGGACAACCTGTACATGTTTGCCATTATGAATGGTAAAGTCCAAAAGAATATATTGTCATCCCGGAAGGGTAATCCATCTAAAAGAAGGAAAACTTTGAATTTAAACCTCCGCTGCTTTGCGGACACACACAATCATGGCCTACGCTTCGAGAGTAAAACCTGAAGGTAAATCCGAAACCGGAGTCCCTAAGACAGTTCGATGTTATATTCAACTTCGTTCTGGCAACTCTTACGACGACGCCGGTGCCATGCTCTATTGGCCTCTACCTTTACCCTGGACAACATCGGTGGCGTCTATGAATGATTCAAAGTGACGTTCGTGCTATTTTTCAGCATATGGCCTAATATAATACTGACATATCTTCCAATGAATATACTACCCAATCCGATGTCGATCTTTGTATTGCTTCGACGTCATGATTGGGGAGCCAAGTTTTTAATAGTCACAACGTGAATTACTTTTCTTTTAATCATTTCATCACAAGCAAGGCAATAAAGCCACTAAGACACAAGTGTTATTGAGTGAGAAAGAATATAAGAAAAAGAAAACATTACTAAAGAGAGAAAACAAAAGAATAGAAATTAAGAAGACAGAAGAGAACGGCTGACATTGCATTTAAATTTTTGAAGATCAAAATTGACTGGAAAGCAAGAAACCGGAAAAGAGTTCCACGAACGAGAAGTGCATTAGAAAAAAAACTTTACATTTAGCCATTTCAACTGTAAAATGATAAAACATTGCCGCCAATCTAGTACCATGAAAATATTGATAAAAAAAAGGCTAGTTACATCAATGGGAAACTGACTGAAACCGAGATACATTGTTATGATTGATAACAATTGTAGATACTTCTTTGTACTATATCAAAAATCTTTAGATTAATAACAGAAGCACCTGACCAGATGTGGCAGCAATATTCAATGCATGAATGAATGGTAGACTTATAAACATGTAAGATAGATGTTTTCGAGAAACATTGTCCAGCACGACACATTCAACCAACTTTCCTAGCAATTGATTCAATATAATCTGTTCACTTCATTTAACCCGACAAAACGCAATGCGTCACCCGCCTGGAAGTCAGCCATACTGATGCTAATCAAATAAGTTTTTCACGGACGTTTAAAAGAGAGCAATTTCATTTTAGAGGCGTCAAAATTAACAATCCATTTCTTGCCCCAGTTAACAACAGATTGGAGGTCGTTTTTTTTTTTTTTTTTTGATCAGCTTCAAATTTGGCCTTGTCGAACCGATCAGACTTGCTATTAAGGCAGGAGTAAATAGTTGTATCATCAGTATAGATACTGATGTGAGAACTGATGACATCGGGAAGATCGTTAATGAAAATTAGCAATAATGCAAGCCTAAAGATAAAGAAACTTGCATTGATGCATAAAGATCTAGAAACGCGACCGTTCAAGACAACTTTCATTTCACGATTTGATAAGAAAGATCGAATCAGATCAAAAATCCGTCCTAAAATACTATATCGTTTTAACTTGAGAAGAAGACCAACATAACAAAGCCTGTGGAATGCTTTCGAAACATCTAAAGCAACAACCCGAACGTCACCATTCTTATCTAAAGCTTGATAGACTTTCAACATCATCGGTTGATCTAGAGAATAGAAAGCGACATTGCTTGTCTGTTTTGTTTTGGTTTGTTTTGTTTTACGGCATACCAACTTCAATGGGTTATTTAATTCCGACAAGATTTTTATTGCTGGTAATATTTTTTTTCGAAAATATACTGTTGGTAAAATGTTTTTTTCAAAAATATATTGCTGGTAATATTTTTTCAAAACGTATTGTTGGTATTAAAACCTATTTTTACACTTTCATAGAGTTTTGGACCCTTTTGGGGGATTAACTATTTACCTATACCTGAGGCCCTAAAAGGTGCTACCACCTCAGGCCAGGGTGGACCTGGGAACACCAGCAATTAAGACGCTCCTCAAAACCTTCTGATCAAAGGACTTGCTGTCGGAAGTAGTTTATCGTCTTACCCAGGACGCGGATGTAGTTTATCCTCATACACAGGACAGGTTGCTTGTCTGAAAGAAGACCCAGTGAAGTAAGATTCGGGTTTGATCAGAGCCTCTAGTTCTTTGCCAAAACAAGGTAGATATCTATTAGGCTGACAGAAGGATAAGACTGTTCGTTTGATTTGGACATAGGCAACGCTACGCCTGATATCCCTGCATGCTGAGGCACACACATTGTCTTTATATTCTTCAGTTCTTTGTCGAGGTTCAAGCACTTATAGATCTCCCTTTATTTTAATTTTGTTCTGTGGTTAGTTGGGAAAACGAAATCCCTTATCTGACATGATCTTTTGTTGTTGTTGTTTGTTTGTTTTTTTTATAACTCCATCTTTTCTCTTTGTTCCAGACCTCGTTCGACAAGCCAGTTCACAATCATTATACATGCTCCTCCCACGACATGGGCTACTTTCTCGCTCACTTATCAAAACATGCTACAGAGACGACATGGCATGTACGAGCAAGTCCTATACATCACGCCTGGTCAAGTTGTCGAAGATCTCGTAGTTGAGACAAATATCTTTGAGACACAAAATATCACTGAGCTGAAAGTGTTTCCCTTGAGAGGGGAACTAATCAGTGATGAGAAAATATGTAAGTTCAGATTTGGTTTATTTTTTTTTTATTTTCCACTCTTTCTCATATTTATCTTTTAAAAAAATCACCGTCGTGCGTACAAGTGATTAAAATACTAAATTCAATTTTGAAGATTTTTATTATTTTAAATTATAATTTAATCGAATAAACTCGACTGCGTTATGATTAATCATCGGAAAATGTAACTCATGAGCTTATATTTATTTCGTAAAAATACAAAATTGTGGCACAAGGCCGAAAAGGGGAAATGGGGTGAGACTGGTCTTCATTACCTATGCTAGCCCTAGTTAATCAGAATCATGACCCATTCATTCATTACAATTCACCCATTCACAACAAGAACACATCCATCACCACTCAATCCTACATATACCATAATACCGCATATTCGCTGGTGACCTACAGAAAATCCCATGATGTAAAAATTTCATTTCATTGTTCATAAAGTTTGTTTATATGAAAATTTCATGATTTATTAAATGATAGGGTGGGAGGATGAAACCAGAAAACAAACTAAAAATGAAACACAAAGAAAAAACTAAAATAAAACAATGTTAGTAGAACCCGTCCATCCCTCAACATAATAATAGTAGCCACTGTATTCTGTCGATAGATAAAATCATGACGCATACTTACTAATGGAATGAGAAGGGTAAAAATAAATGCCGGAAAGAGGGGAATCAAAGGCTGATCCAGTCGGGATGAAAAATGGATGACAAAAACAAACTAGGGGAGGTTAGGAATCTCAACATGGGTCATAACAAAAGGGAATGCTGGGAACAGGCCGGGAGCAAAACATATTCACATTTACTAGGAAAACATGATATTGCCTAACTTAACCAGGGGAGGGTTCACAGAAGACCACCCCGTTGCATCAAAGAGAAAATTAAGGTTAGCCCCATCCACACGAAGCAGGTTCGCCTCATATAACTCATGAGTTTCTGATGTAAATTTAAGTTTATTACAGTATCTTATACATATCTTTTCCAGGTCATTATTTTTCGCACGATTTTCGAGAGATCTTGATGGAGAGCCGCCATAATGCATGATGGGTATTCTCCATCAAGTAGTACGACTTCAGACAAGGAACAACTTTTGCAGAATATTAGCAGTACCAACCAAGGCAGACTTCTAAATTTATGGCCTACTAGGCTTTATTATTATTATTATTATTATATTTCCTTTGATTTCTGGTCTATACTCATTTCTTCTCGGGTCCCAACCAGAGACCTAAGGTCAGAAATGGCATTATGAAATTTAGCCATTGAACAGTTTTGAAAAAAAACATCACATATTCTACATAGATAAAGACCTTCGTTAGGTGTGGGCTGTACTCGTGAGAACCATTTTTGTATTTCTTTAAGGTGTGGGCAACCAGGAATCCCTTCAATCCACGTTGAAATCTTTTCCAATCAATCCGAGGGCTCCAACTACAATTGGAATTGTTGATTTTCTTATGCGCCACATTTTTGAGCTTTCGATTTCAAGGTCCTTGTATTTTGATAGCATTTTGAAAATCTTCAAAAACACATTGCAGTCAGGAGGGACTGCCATGTCAATAAAGTGGCATATTTTGTCATTGCGGTTTCTAATCACGATGCCAGGGCGATTAGCTTTGATTGATCTGTATGTATGTATTGTGAAGTCACATAAAATTGTAACACGTCCTATCTCCATAACCGGTTATGCGTGGTATTCATACCAATTTCTTGCAGTTTCCTTTCTGTAATAGCTGCAGATTTTCCGGTGCAGATATCGGCCCACTCTGTGCCAATGCCACCCAACTTAATAAGATGGTCAATTGTTTCTGGATATCTATCACCGAAACTACATTTTGGGCTAACAGAATTTTATTATTATTATTATTATTATTATTATTATTATTATTATTTCCTTTTATTTCGATTGTATACTCATTTCCTTTCGTGTTCCGGACTCAGATCAGAAATGGCATCACGACATTTTCCTCTGCACATTTTTGTAAAATTATAAATAAAACAATTTAAAATACACACATTTTACATAGATAAAGCCCTTCAGAAGGTGTGAGCCGTACTTGTGACAATATTTTTTGTATTTCTTTAAGGCATCGGCTAGCAGAGATCTCTTCAATTAGTCTATTAGAATCTTTTTACATCGAACCGAGGGCTCCAACTACACGTGGAATTATTGATGTCTTTATGTGCTACATTGTTTTGATTTCCACTTCAAGCTCCTTGTATACTGATAGTTTTTTGGACATCTTCAAATATACATTATAGTATGCAGAAAGCACATTCTGTTTTTGTGGTCTTTGATTACTATGTTTGGGCGATTAAATTTGATTGTTCTGGCTGTTTTTATTGTTGCAGGTTCTATTTCTGCAACTGGGTCTGGGTAGTGTTCATACCAGTTCCATGCAGTTTCATTCCCGTAGAAGTTTCAGATTTTCAAGTGAAGATATTCGCCCATTATTATTATTATTATTAGAGAGCAGTACGTCAACAATATGATACTGAAATGGAAATATACGAAGGACAATATATCTATCATGGTACCCAGTCTGATAAGGATGAACTGGGTACATGTATCAGAGGCCAAAAGTGCATGATATAGTGACAGGTTTTGATAAAGAAACTCAAAACAATTCAGGTGGGAGCTCGGTTAGAAATAACTTCAGATCGGGTAACAGTCCTCTCCAACAATCTTCGATTAAGGGTATTCTCAAATAGATTATTTTGGCTGCTTCATTCCCCAGAATTAAAAAAAAAACGTGGATAATCGTCCACAATGTCGCCGACTCCTACCGCTTAATAATAGATATACACATTGCGTCACCCCTAAGGGACACACCCAATTGGTCAGTGATGGCGACAAGATATGTAAACTCAGATTTGGATTTTTGAGTTTACGCTTAATCTTTGTTATATCTTTTTTGTGATGTCAAAGAACCCTCGCTTTCACTTTCAGTAATGCTCGTTGTAGTAGAGACTTTATAATCGCAGATACTACTTATAGTAGCGCCATTGAACAATACTGGTGTCAGACGCTTTCGAATATCCCTCGCACTAATTGTACTTGCTCGATAATATTTGCTCGAATAGTAATCCGTATAGCGACCCGAAAAAAGTATAGTGAATAGAGTAGAGAATACTGATCCGTATAGTAATAGAGGATAGAATAGAAATGGAGAGCGTTAGTCGTCTGCTACTTCCTACATATATGCGTTTACGCTATGGTTACGTGGTCTACTTTAATTCAATAATGGGATCGCCTGTGTTTACTCACTGGCGGTCTATGTTCAAACCCAAGTGTCGGCAGCGACACTTTATTCTCTATAACAATCTTAAAAGTACAGGGGATGAAAATATTAAAAATATCGAAGGTGCATCAGGTGCATAAACTGTGAAACATTTCAAAGATCTTAAAAAAATCTAATTTCAAATATTTTGAATATTTCAAAATACATCATTAAATATTTCCAGATTAAAAATGTAATATTCAAATTAAAATTTAAAGTATTTAAGTATTAAGTATTCCGTTTGTTTATAATTAACCATGTTATAATCCTTTGTGTATAGACCGCTAGAGACTATAAGACGAAGTTAATAAGGCAGAGAAATTCCGGAGAAAAAAAAGGTCATTTCCATGTATAAAATGCACGTTAGTTTAGAGCAAAGAAAATTGCCAAAATTTGTATAAAGGGTAGAGAAAAAATGAAAAAAGTGAGACATTTCTCTTTTTTATCGTAAATTAAATAGTATTTTCACCTTTTTAATGCTTTCCAAATTCACTAAGGTGTCAAGACTTAACGAAATCTAGAAGTACGGAACTGTACTGATCATAGAGAAATATTTTAAAATATTTATTTCACTTTGATGCAATATCGCCATTGGATGGCTATTATATCTCTGGTAAATAAATAAATCCAACATGACCCAATTTTGTCTGTTTTGAGTCCTGGGAAAAATAAGATTAAGTTCTAAACTAATGTATTAGGCGCAGAAGACTTTTTTAGCATTAAAAAAAAACATGTATCTTATACACACAGGATTACAGTAATACCGGATTTTGTTTTCGAATTCCCTCACAAAGAAATATATTTATGTGACAAACCAACTGTTAAAGGAAACAGAAGAAATATTTCCGTAAGCAATGAACGAAACTTTTCTGCCTCAAGACTTTCTTCTCGAGATTTTTAGGCTATTATTCACCCAATACAAAGCCTAAGAGTCACTCAAGCTAAGAGGAGAAGATTATGTAGATATGTAGGGCAGATAACCCTAGATTTGAAGGTTAAGTTAATAGTGATCAGGAAATATCCATTCGGAAGTCTGTAAAGATCAGAACTAAAGAATGTAACTCGTCAGAACTTTTCTATGGAAATAGCGAGAGTGTAATGAGAGGTTTACGAAATTTCGTCTGTGAGGAAAGAGGTTGTAGAGTGGAAAATAATTCATTACCCACAAATCTACCTAGACGAATTTTAACTCTGTTGATAGCATTGAAGAGATGTTTAAACTGACTAATATTTTTCTATGTTCAATAATATTATTATTATTATTATTATACATGAATAATGTGTCGCTGCCGACGCTTGAGTTTGAACAAAGATCGCCAGTGAGCAAACACAGGCGAACCCATTATTGAATTAAAGTAGACCACGTGACCATAGAGGAAACGCATAAGTAGAAATGTCACGTGACGTCTAATTGATCACTGTTTCTAGTCTATCCTCAATTACGATACGGATCGTCATTTCTACTCTATCCTCTATTACTATACGGACCGCTATTCTCTACTCGATTCACTATACTATTCCTCTACTCGGATCACTATAGGGATTACTATTCGAGCGAGTATTATCGAGCAAGTACTATTAGTGTGAGTGTTATTCGAAGGCGTCTGACACCAGTAGTGTTCAACCAGGTTACTATAGTTGTATCTGTAATTACAAAGTTTCTACTACAACGAGTATTACGAAAGTGACAACGAGTATTCGT